TTCAATTTGCTAGCATAGATTAAATTCAAACAGTAATTTTTTGTTTGGTAATATGCATTTTAATAATAGGTATATTTTCGCCGCCTCTCGTTAAAAATGTGCTGATCTTTCAGCTCTTCTTTATTTGATTAGTGCTGTATATAGGTTATTGCAAGTTTAACCTAAAGGGAATGACAAAACAGCTGTAAAGTCATATTCAAGATGTATCAATTGGAACACATATCTGAATAAATACCATGTAAGCTCTAAAGACAATGTGACCATCAAGTAAATTTCGTGTTAATAATTCAGTCCCAATCGTTATGAAACATGTAGAATTGTTCTTAAGCGCTCGTCTAACTTCAATAGCCTTTGCAATTTCACCGTACGTACGCTCTATATCAGGTTCAAAAATTATGTGTTAATGCCACAGACTGCAAAACCAAAATAAGCTTTCTCTTCGTCATTAATTTGCTTTCCAAGATTTAGTTTAGGTATCTTATGGCAATAGAGGGCTTCGTTTATGCCAAGTAACAACTCCACATGATCAATTCAGAAAGATCCAGACTAATATTCGCAACAATCCGCAACTTTTCTTTAATTCCGCGAACTCTGAACGATAAACTAAATTAGAAAAGCTTGAAAATAGTTAATTTTAGTAGACAAAAGAATTAGTTTGAATTAAATTTGTGTTAAGAAAAATAGCAGTAGTAAGAACTCGATAGGATTCAACATGATAAAGCGGATTTTTCAGACCTTCTCGAACCGAACATTTGGTAGCCATATATTTGTTTCATGCTAACCCTACCCATTTTGAGCTACAATCGAAAGATGCTGTACTCTGCGCCATAACATTCAACACTGTCAACACGTAAGTGTCAATAACTTGCGTTTTCTAAAATAAATTTGAGACAGAACGCTCGCCCTCCAATCTCAAGTGACATATATATCAAAAAGCTAGTTATTGGGCATTTCTAAATCTACATATCCCTATCCTCGTAACAAACCAGAAAGATGTGTTGAGGAGACTGCATACCACTCACATGGGTGAACGAAAACTTCGATTTATTTATGGAAATTATCTTTTCCATTGATTGTAAATTCAAAATACAAATTTCTTGAAATATTTCAAAAAATGCTTTACAAAATATCCTTTAAAGCATTTGCTTGAAGGCAAATTTAAAAAAATTAATTATTTTGCAACCTGGTGGATATGCTTTCCCACAATCGGCTGCCTTTTCATTTTTCATTATGATGCCCGTAATTTAGCTTTGATCAGATTTACAATTTTTATTTTTCTATTAAATACCATTTCTGTAAATAAATTTCATAATCGAATATAAAGTACAATGGTTCTTTGACAAACAAGGATTAAAACTTTCATTTGCCAACAAATTAGTTAAAATTAATGACTCGTCGTCAAAATTGAGCGGCAGTGACAGCTGCTGGTTTTAAATTATAAAAAATGCAAGAAGGTTTGATTTTATGCTTTAAAAATCTAGTTGAAATTATCTAGGAGTCTTAAATAGGCCTTAAATTTATAAACGGACATTTGTAAGAGATACGTTTGCCTTGGACTTCCTGTTACGTCACTTCAACTAACGTCACTGACGATATGGCTAATGCTGTTTTCCAAAACTAGAACTAAGACATTTGTTTTCTTAATTAAATCCTTTTCAAAAAAAGTAGGTGATAAACATTTTTTTGAAAATCTTAGTAAGCAAAAAGAGACAGCTGAATGGTTTGCTTGTCATAAATTTGTATTTGATTTAAATCTAAATTTGATATTATCTTGGTAGACAAACTGCTTTTGTCACTCATAATGCAGTAATGAAGGTTTTGGGACGAAAATATATCCATCAATCATCGTCTGTCAATTAGGATTATCTTGGTGTTTTAATGATATAAATCCAAAATTAAGTAAACTTTTATTAGCGAAACAAATTGACAAGAATATATATATATATATATATATATATATATATATGTATGTCTATATTTTGGATATATTCATAATAGGCTGAATTTTAAAATGGCTATTACCAATTAAATATATTTTGCTTAATTATTTTTACTCTTTGTTTGAACGAGAAAAGTATCGATTCCCTTTCACAATAAATTGGTTTGGTTAAATTAATGATAATGTAATCTAAAGCACGTTCCGTTGTGTCGATAAGTTCATTCAGAAGACAACAGAGACAGACTCTATTGACTTTACTTTAATTAGGGCAAAAGATTACAATTTTATGTCTCAGGAAATCCGATAATAATTATATTTAAATTAAAATATCTCGCTTTCTCAATTTGAAACGATTTTGGCACGCATCTACATTACCATGCTGGTAGCAGTAAATATGGATTATTTATTGCGTTACACTCCAGACATACGAATTTATGCAATACGATATTTTTTTCACATTATATGCAACCACATATTTATCCATATTATTAGGCCTTATTTGATTTTATTATTGAAAGCAACTCTCACACTTGCATTAGTTTTCAGCATGATTGTAAACGGATGGCATTCTAGCGCGGCTATACTTCAACAATATGGATGGTGAAAAAATGGTGGACTCGTTTCTGTATTTACCAAATCTATTGATAATGGGAATTTTCATATTTACGGAAATTGGTTTTATATTTGCAAAATGCCCCTATTTCAAAAATGTAGTAGATATGCTTGAGGTACTTATTAAATAGGAAGATTAAGATTTAGTACAAAATCGATAAAGGAAAAGCCACACTTTCTGTGCGATTTGAGTAATTGAATAGAGAAAAAGCAATCGGTTAAGGCAAATTTTACCACTTATTGGAAAACAATAATGCCAATTGGACGCGGTTAAAAGCCCCAATAATAACATTGTGAAGACTACTATGTTAATTTATTTATTCAAACGCATTGAAAGACATTAGGAAAAAAATTGCTCTCATATAGAGAACTATTCTTTTTATTATAAAAAGAATAAATAACTCTTTCCTAAATGGGCATAAAGGTAGGAACCAACGATGAAAAAGGCTAGAATTAAAGGAAGAAATATATTTGGTGCTTATAACTGGAGTTAATTTATTTATTTATTTCAAATGGCAGACTTTATGATATTTATCATTAATCCCTAATCTTTGACTTCAACTTCCCCCAAGAGGGGTGGGGGTACATTTATAACAGTTAATTAATAGCAGTTCATTATCAGTCTTCTTGCTTCCCAGTATTTTTGGCTTTCCGTCCTTGTCTTTAGGGCTGGCCACCGAATCAGGTGGGTCTTCTCCATTTCCCCCTGTAGGTTACATAGTGGGCATATTGGTTGAGTGTATACTCCCAGTCTGTTAAGATGTTTTGCACAGCAATCGTGTTCGGTACGTTGTCTAAACTCAGCAACGGCTTCGATTCTTGGCCATTCGGGTATGTCGGAGAGTGCCACTGTCCACTGTTTCTCCTTTGTTCGAGCTTTGAGTTCGTTGAACCATGAGGTATGGAATTCACTCCTGATTAAGGCCCTACATTGTGTGGAAAGACATCGACCGGTCCATGCATTACAAAATCGCTGTCCCCTTCTTAGCAAGTGTGTCAGCAAGCTCATTGCCTTTAATTCCACAGTGACCAGGAATCCATTGTAGGACAACTGTTTTATTTTTCTCTCTCAGCAACTCATAGAGTTTTCTAAATTTCTTTATCTCAGCTTTTTCGGGTGTCTCTTTGTTTCCAATAGAGTCTATTGATGACTGTGAGTCCGAAAGTATCACCACTTTGGTGAATTTCGTATCCAGGCAACATGATTGATATAGTGCTATCCTAATGGCCTCTATTTTGCCTTCGAAAGCGGATCCATTGTGTCCCTCTGCTGCGTAGAAAGAGAAGAGTTCAGAATAGACACCTGCACCAACGTTTGCTTGGTTTTCTACGTATGACCCATCAGTGAAGAATTGGATCCATTGATCTCCAGGATAATTGACATTGATCGTCTTAAGGGCCAGTAAGCGCATTTGCTCTTTAGTTGTGTTTGATTTCCTGAAGAAGTCAAGCAGCAGGGTGCAATACACTACATCAGTGTCTGCTAATGGGTTCATTGGGAGAGAGTGCCTTTTATTTTGTCATCAATTTGTAATTCTTTCTTCAGTTCTATGGCCTTCTGTATTAGACCAGATTGCGTTTTCAGATGACTTGGTCTATTCTCATAGGTGCTGAAGAACTTATCCATGGGAATGCACAGTAGCTTCTCATACAGGATCTATGCCTATTCTTTGATAAGGGAACACATTGCGGTGCTTCCTGTAACTAGGAGCATTGCATCAATGGGTGTTGATTTTATCCCACGAGTAATTAGTCGTAATGCTCTGTTGTGTGCCTTCACGAGGGGTTAGAGAGTCACCTCTGTGGCTGTTATGAGTGGCTCACAGCAATACAACATTATTGCCAAGTCGGAATGGTTCGGTAAGTACATTATTTGGAGTTGCGTCTTCCTTAATTTCACAAAACTGCCTTACTTGTATCTTTAAATATCTTGAAGATTTTCTGATAACAGGGTTTTTTCTTTTGCTTGTGGGAAGAGAACCTCGCAAAGTAGTTAGCTATTTCGGTGTCGGTGGTAATTTGTTTTTTCAAACGTATTGGTTCTTTCTTGGGTCTTTCCCTGTTGTATTAAACGTATTGGTTCTTTCTTGGGTCTTTCTCTGTTCTTTTGGATGTATTGGTTCTTTCTTGGGTTTTTCTCTGTTGTTTAGCAGGTTTCTCAGAAACTTGAAAGTACTCTGGCAATCACTTTGATAATTGATATTTGAGATGAACTTGTTGAAAGTAGTGCGTTTAGCTTGTAAGATGGCTTGCCTTAGGACAGCTTTGTTTAGCTTGTAAGATGGCTTGCCTTAGGACAGCTGACTGTATTGCTTGTAAGATGGCTTGCCTTAGGACAGCTGATTGTCGTTTGCTTGTAAGATGGCTTGCCTTAGGCCAGCTGATTGTCGTCTGCTTGTAAGATGACTTGCCTTAGGACAGCTGATTGTCGTCTCCAGTCTTTTACGTCTTACGTTCTTCCTGTCTGATCAGCAGTGTTGCGAAGGGCGTGCCTAAGGACAGCTGATTGTCGTCTCCAGGCTTGTACGTCTTCCGTTCTTCCAGTCAGGTGTTGCGAAGGGCGTCCCGCTTTCTTTTCAGTTCCTCCTTTACGAAGGGCGTCCCGCTTACTTTTCAGTTCCTCAAGGTGTTTAGACCAA